GGACTGAAATGTACAACCAGAAGACTCTTTCAGTTAGGAAAGTTAGAACCATTCTTTATGTAGAAAGTAAAATAAGGTTGCAGCAGGATCGCCATTGGCTTCTATTCTGAGCCATATCTGATAACGTCTCTAGCTACTGTGTTGCACCATCTCTCGGACCCCAGCCAGGGAGTCGTGAAGGACGAACAGAAGCTAGCGCTTTGCAGCTTGCTTTCATGCCACGACACCATGTCATACACTGACCACCTCTCCGCTTTTTCCAACCAGTCCTAGGGTCGGCAAATAATGCACGACGTGGAAGTCTCTGGGACGACATTCGTAAAACATGTCCAAGCCACCGAAGTCGGTGTTTCAAGATGGTGACACCAATTGAATTATCATCCCTGCGCCCGAACACACGATGCCAAACCTCTGCATTACCAACATGGTGTTGCCACTGGATGTCAGCAATCCTTCGGAGGCAACGATGATCGAACACAGAGAGTCGGCTAACATCCTCAACTCGGAGAGGCCAGGTTTCACAAGCATAGAGGAAAACTGCTCTCACCGACGCGTTGTAGATCCGACCTTTTACAGCCAGACTAAAATCACGAAGGCGCCAAAGATGGCCCAGATTGGCATAAGCCGCTCTGGCTTTCATTATACGTGCATCAATCTCATCACTCACGCCACCACCAGCACTTATATAGCTACCTAGATACACGAACTTCTCAACTACTTCAATCTGCTCACCATCCAGGTTGAGTACAGGATGAGAATCCTGCCAGTCTTGTAGGAGTACTTTGCACTTGGAGGGTGCAAAGCAAATGCCGTACCTGCGGACACTGATTGTCAACTGATTAAGTGCGAATTACATGGCTTGAGCATTATCGCACAGTAAGAAAATATCATCCGCATACTCAAGGTCGAGAAGTCGTTCTCCAGGCAACATATCCACACCGCCATTACTTACATCCATCAGAGCTGTTTCCAGGATGTCGTCGATAGCAAAGTTGAAGAGGAATGTTGAGATCGGGCAACCCTATCTGTTGTCTGATATGCATTTGTGTGCGAACGTTGAAGGAAGCCAGCTTGAACGGCGTACGTGGTTTCAGAAAGACTGCTTCAGTATTCATAATCGGTGGAAGCATTCACTTTCAACCAGACAGTGACTGGAGATCGTTTAGATAGGACAGATTTTCCACCATGGGCGAGCTGCTGCATAAGTTGAAAAGTAAGGATACACAAATTGGGGATAAAAGGGGGTGAGTTAGCGATATGGTAAATAATAATAATAAAGGTAATAATATTAATAATGTGAATTGCCTTGCTTCTAGTATCAGCAGGGATAGTATCGTCAATAGAGTTCATCATTTCATTTATTTGTGTGTGGGCTGTGATACTTCCCGGGTGCCCAAACCGAAGCAGGTGGTTTTCTTAGGGGGCCACACCCCGAGCCTTTGACCAAAAGGTCTGATCCACAAGGCAGTGGGGCATCGTGAGGAGATGCAGTCTCATGGTAGCCGTTGACCAATGACAGGTTCGTCCGCCATTCGTCCCATCAGAATACTGGAACCCATGTGCACCATTGGTTTGGAATCAGGGTTTTCCAACTCCCCTAGGTGGACGCGCCGTGTCCACCAACCCGGTTAAAGCGCCGGACATTCGCTTTTCGTTCTCTCACTTTCGTAGACAACACCCCCGCCACGAGAAGGCAGTGAGTAGGACTTCCCTGGCAGAGGCTATATATTCGCTGGCCATATGAGAGCATTTCGAGAGGGAAAGCAGACTCGGCCGTACCAGGGCATTTGGGGGCAAACATTGTGATGGAGGTGGGATTTCTATGGTACCAACAGATGTGATCATCGTTTTTTTTGTTCTTGCGTTATCCCGGTTCTTGCTCCCCCGAGAATCAGGTCGAGACTTTCGAGATGTGAGTTTGGAAAAATTGATTGTAACCCATCTTGCTTGTTTTCAAGACTGGCAACAGTGTGTGCGTGCGGAGTACGTAGGTCACTTAATTCAGTTGTTAAGAATGTTATGTTCGGAGTTTGCGTATCACTCAGAGTTTGTGATATCGCCTGCACGTAGGTTGTTGTGCCTGGCGTTATTTCTAAAACAATGTCAGCCATGCTAGATAGACTCTCTAAATCTAAATGTTGGCTGGAAGCGCAGAGAATTTGATGGACTACTGTTGGTAAACGTTGTAGCCAAATGTCTTTGAGAAAAACATCACCAACCTTAAAAGTTTCAGACAACTGCCTCATCTGGCGTAATATTTGAGAGGGTGACTTGTCACCCAGCTGGCACTCATGCAGTCATTGTTGTAGCTTCTTTACATCCGAAAGTGAGGTATGTTGAATAATAGCCTGCTTCAACTGATCACAAGCTTTTAATACAGGGAAATTATCTATGAGATGTGATACCTCAGATGCTACTTCAGTCGATAGAATTTTAAGCACAAAAGAGTATTTTGATTCCTGTGTATGAATGCTACGACGCTGATACTGCACTTCTACCTGTGCGAACAATATACGTGGGTTTATTCTAATGAATGAAGGCACATTTATAACGTTTAGCGTGTAACTCTGTTCGGTCGTTATCCAGGCTTATGTCTTTAGATTAGGATGAAAACATTACAAATATACAAAAAATAATCTCTACCAAGAGGAAAAGTAACGCCGTAATGTTTGTAGGTGGACTCAAAATTACGGTTTCGAAGAAAATATACGGGCTCATCAGATTTGTGGTGGATCTCAGCGAAAGAGCCTAGTCAAATTATAACCGAAGGGTGTGTCTATGAGTAACGCAAAAGGTAGCAAATTACAGTTAAATTATAAACAGGTATATTGAGCAACAAAATGGTAACAGTGTTATGAAATGAATGTTACTTGTAAGTGGCTTTCAGAGATAACAACCACAAATAAGTTCACTTGGTTAATAAAGGTTCCTCTGCATATGACGGCATCATCAGCAAAATGGAGGAGTGTGGAAAAAACTTAAAGAATGTTAGAGTACAAACAAAGGCCGTGGGCATTAAAGCAGAAGAATAGATGACGGTTACAACGTGTGTAACACGTGGAACGAGAGGTCAGAAAAGGACGGAACAGTTCTGGAAAAGCACAGAACACAATGTTAAACGAAGACTTCACACCAAGAAAGAACACGGAGTGAGAATCATGAGCCTCTTTATTTCAAAATCAAAGAGCGCGGGACGTGAGATTACAGCGGGAAAAGCCAGTTTACAAAGAAGTCTTATGAGTCATCCTGTAAGCTTAGTGTACGTAGGGCTTGATCTTCTTCCTTCAAAAAAGTTATTTTTGGTTGCCCTGCAATAGAAAGAAAATAAAATCTGTTAGTACATCACAAATTACTATTTCAACTCCGTTACACGTTTATATTTTAGGAATCGCGGTAGTGATTTCGTATTATTAATAAACAAACAAAATGTGCTCTCGTAAGGTCTCAAAATTTCATGCATTTTATTCCTCTCAATTGTCGACCAGATCTCATGAAAAAATGCAGGCATACTTGCGACAGGTTCATAAAAGTTTTCTTGTCGCTGAAGCAAAATGCAAAGCCCAACTTCAGATCAAAACGACTAAGACCTTATGCTGCTATGTCAGTCGTTGACCGAGAACTTATGGTTGGAAACATTCCATGTCCTTCAGCTAGTGAAATATTCATAGTGAACAAATGCCATATTATTTGTGAGAAAAGAAGAATCCTAATATAAACAACATCATCATCAAGATGAATTTAATATCTCCCGAGATGAGCAAAAGGCTAACGTCTGACTCGCCCAAAACTATTTTTCACAGAAAACTGGGAAACAGAACACAGTGTATAAAATGTTGTTGGACGGTTCGGACAAAGCGCGTTCGGCGAATGAGGAGACTGTGCAAAATGAATAAAATTCTATTAGAAGATCAACAAAGAAACGCGAAAAATCTAAAAACCTGCAGCTGAACCACAAGTAGGGTTTGCTTATTAAGATGAGTTATAAATAATTATGTCTCAGTTCTAATAGCACACAGTCATTTAAGAAATTCCTCCCTAATTCCATATATTCAGGTGAACTGAACTGGTCACGTTTCACAACGATCACAATGACATCGAGTTTCCTTACTTACGCACCCTGTTCAATGTATAACATATTTTGTCAAGGGTGAAGATGATGTGAACAGAGAAACACGAAGCGTTGACAAACTACGGAAGCTATATTTGGGGACGTGATTTCATTACATTCAAACTTGTATTACACGAACATTTATTTCGCTCCTAGTCTATTCTGCAGATCCAAAGCTTCCGTTTTTCCATGTATGATCCACTGCCATAGCCTCTTCTGTTCCAACACTATTGTAGTTTGGACATGACCGTTTGTACTGAATTTCCTGCGGTTATCCACAGTTTTCAACACAATTGCATTTCCGGATTATTGTAAGTTGTGGTCGCCTTATTCATCTATATTTTCATGTATGTTTTCACAGTTATCCTGATTCGGTCAGCAGATCGGATATTGGAATTAGGCGAGTAGTGTTCCAGTTGTCTTTTCTTCCCTCTCTCACGTGCCTGTCAAGCAATCAGGTGACAGAATAGAACAGAAAACTGAGGAACCCTGCTAAATTTGGAAAATGTAGTTGGACAGTTTCGGCATAGCGCGTTCGTTGACTGACGAGATTGTGCAACATGAACAAAATCCTATCAGGAGATCATTCATGAAACGCGAGCGATCAGATTTCCTGCAAGTGGACTGCAAGAGAAGGCCATCTGCTTCTCATAGTAGAAATGACTAATGACGTCCCACCTATCACTTGTAAATATTGCCTCATCAATTTTCGTATTTGTTCTATTTATTGCAGTTAACCGAATTGGTCACGTTTCACAACGATCACAATGACATCGAGTTTCCTTACTTACGCACCCTGTTCAATGTATAACATATTTTGTCAAGGGTGAAGATGATGTGAACAGAGAAACACGAAGCGTTGACAAACTACGGAAGCTATATTTGGGGACGTGATTTCATTACATTCAAACTTGTATTACACGAACATTTATTTCGCTCCTAGTCTATTCTGCAGATCCAAAGCTTCCGTTTTTCCATGTATGATCCACTGCCATAGCCTCTTCTGTTCCAACACTATTGTAGTTTGGACATGACCGTTTGTACTGAATTTCCTGCGGTTATCCACAGTTTTCAACACAATTGCATTTCCGGATTATTGTAAGTTGTGGTCGCCTTATTCATCTATATTTTCATGTATGTTTTCACAGTTATCCTGATTCGGTCAGCAGATCGGATATTGGAATTAGGCGAGTAGTGTTCCAGTTGTCTTTTCTTCCCTCTCTCACGTGCCTGTCAAGCAATCAGGTGACAGAATAGAACAGAAAACTGAGGAACCCTGCTAAATTTGGAAAATGTAGTTGGACAGTTTCGGCATAGCGCGTTCGTTGACTGACGAGATTGTGCAACATGAACAAAATCCTATCAGGAGATCATTCATGAAACGCGAGCGATCAGATTTCCTGCAAGTGGACTGCAAGAGAAGGCCATCTGCTTCTCATAGTAGATATGACTAATGACGTCTCACCTATCACTTGTAAATATTGCCTCATCAATTTTCGTATTTGTTCTATTTATTGCAGTTAACCGAATTGGTCACGTTTCACAACGATCACAATGACATCGAGTTTCCTTAGTTACGCACCCTGTTCAATGTATAACATATTTTGTCAAGGGTGAAGATGATGTGAACAGAGAAACACGAAGCGTTGACAAACTACGGAAGCTATATTTGGGGACGTGATTTCATTACACTCAAACTTGTATTACACGAACATTTATTTCGCTCCTAGTCTATTCTGCAGATCCAAAGCTTCCGTTTTTCCATGTATGATCCACTGCCATAGCCTCTTCTGTTCCAACACTATTGTAGTTTGGACATGACCGTTTGTACTGAATTTCCTGCGGTTATCCACAGTTTTCAACACAATTGCATTTCCGGATTATTGTAAGTTGTGGTCGCCTTATTCATCTATATTTTCATGTATGTTTTCACAGTTATCCTAATTCGGTCAGCAGATCGGATATTGGAATTAGGCGAGTAGTGTTCCAGTTGTCTTTTCTTCCCTCTCTCACGTGCCTGTCAAGCAATCAGGTGACAGAATGGAACAGAAAACTGAGGAACCCTGCTAAATTTGGAAAATGTAGTTGGACAGTTTCGGCATAGCGCGTTCGTCGACTGACGAGATTGTGCAACATGAACAAAATCCTATCAGGAGATCATTCATGAAACGCGAGCGATCAGATTTCCTGCAAGTGGACTGGAAGAGAAGGCCATCTGCTTCTCATAGTAGATATGACTAATGACGTCTCACCTATCACTTGTAAATATTGCCTCATCAATTTTCGTATTTGTTCTATTTATTGCAGTTAACCGAATTGGTCACGTTTCACAACGATCACAATGACATCGAGTTTCCTTACTTACGCACCCTGTTCAATGTATAACATATTTTGTCAAGGGTGAAGATGATGTGAACAGAGAAACACGAAGCGTTGACAAACTACGGAAGCTATATTTGGGGACGTGATTTCATTACATTCAAACTTGTATTACACGAACATTTATTTCGCTCCTAGTCTATTCTGCAGATCCAAAGCTTCCGTTTTTCCATGTATGATCCACTGCCATAGCCTCTTCTGTTCCAACACTATTGTAGTTTGGACATGACCGTTTGTACTGAATTTCCTGCGGTTATCCACAGTTTTCAACACAATTGCATTTCCGGATTATTGTAAGTTGTGGTCGCCTTATTCATCTATATTTTCATGTATGTTTTCACAGTTATCCTAATTCGGTCAGCAGATCGGATATTGGAATTAGGCGAGTAGTGTTCCAGTTGTCTTTTCTTCCCTCTCTCACGTGCCTGTCAAGCAATCAGGTGACAGAATAGAACAGAAAACTGAGGAACCCTGCTAAATTTGGAAAATGTAGTTGGACAGTTTCGGCATAGCGCGTTCGTTGACTGACGAGATTGTGCAACATGAACAAAATCCTATCAGGAGATCATTCATGAAACGCGAGCGATCAGATTTCCTGCAAGTGGACTGCAAGAGAAGGCCATCTGCTTCTCATAGTAGAAATGACTAATGACGTCCCACCTATCACTTGTAAATATTGCCTCATCAATTTTCGTATTTGTTCTATTTATTGCAGTTAACCGAATTGGTCACGTTTCACAACGATCACAATGACATCGAGTTTCCTTACTTACGCACCCTGTTCAATGTATAACATATTTTGTCAAGGGTGAAGATGATGTGAACAGAGAAACACGAAGCGTTGACAAACTACGGAAGCTATATTTGGGGACGTGATTTCATTACATTCAAACTTGTATTACACGAACATTTATTTCGCTCCTAGTCTATTCTGCAGATCCAAAGCTTCCGTTTTTCCATGTATGATCCACTGCCATAGCCTCTTCTGTTCCAACACTATTGTAGTTTGGACATGACCGTTTGTACTGAATTTCCTGCGGTTATCCACAGTTTTCAACACAATTGCATTTCCGGATTATTGTAAGTTGTGGTCGCCTTATTCATCTATATTTTCATGTATGTTTTCACAGTTATCCTAATTCGGTCAGCAGATCGGATATTGGAATTAGGCGAGTAGTGTTCCAGTTGTCTTTTCTTCCCTCTCTCACGTGCCTGTCAAGCAATCAGGTGACAGAATAGAACAGAAAACTGAGGAACCCTGCTAAATTTGGAAAATGTAGTTGGACAGTTTCGGCATAGCGCGTTCGTTGACTGACGAGATTGTGCAACATGAACAAAATCCTATCAGGAGATCATTCATGAAACGCGAGCGATCAGATTTCCTGCAAGTGGACTGCAAGAGAAGGCCATCTGCTTCTCATAGTAGATATGACTAATGACGTCTCACCTATCACTTGTAAATATTGCCTCATCAATTTTCGTATTTGTTCTATTTATTGCAGTTAACCGAATTGGTCACGTTTCACAACGATCACAATGACATCGAGTTTCCTTAGTTACGCACCCTGTTCAATGTATAACATATTTTGTCAAGGGTGAAGATGATGTGAACAGAGAAACACGAAGCGTTGACAAACTACGGAAGCTATATTTGGGGACGTGATTTCATTACATTCAAACTTGTATTACACGAACATTTATTTCGCTCCTAGTCTATTCTGCAGATCCAAAGCTTCCGTTTTTCCATGTATGATCCACTGCCATAGCCTCTTCTGTTCCAACACTATTGTAGTTTGGACATGACCGTTTGTACTGAATTTCCTGCGGTTATCCACAGTTTTCAACACAATTGCATTTCCGGATTATTGTAAGTTGTGGTCGCCTTATTCATCTATATTTTCATGTATGTTTTCACAGTTATCCTAATTCGGTCAGCAGATCGGATATTGGAATTAGGCGAGTAGTGTTCCAGTTGTCTTTTCTTCCCTCTCTCACGTGCCTGTCAAGCAATCAGGTGACAGAATAGAACAGAAAACTGAGGAACCCTGCTAAATTTGGAAAATGTAGTTGGACAGTTTCGGCATAGCGCGTTCGTTGACTGACGAGATTGTGCAACATGAACAAAATCCTATCAGGAGATCATTCATGAAACGCGAGCGATCAGATTTCCTGCAAGTGGACTGCAAGAGAAGGCCATCTGCTTCTCATAGTAGATATGACTAATGACGTCTCACCTATCACTTGTAAATATTGCCTCATCAATTTTCGTATTTGTTCTATTTATTGCAGTTAACCGAATTGGTCACGTTTCACAACGATCACAATGACATCGAGTTTCCTTACTTACGCACCCTGTTCAATGTATAACATATTTTGTCAAGGGTGAAGATGATGTGAACAGAGAAACACGAAGCGTTGACAAACTACGGAAGCTATATTTCGGGACGTGATTTCATTACACTCAAACTTGTATTACACGAACATTTATTTCGCTCCTAGTCTATTCTGCAGATCCAAAGCTTCCGTTTTTCCATGTATGATCCACTGCCATAGCCTCTTCTGTTCCAACACTATTGTAGTTTGGACATGACCGTTTGTGCTGAATTTCCTGCGGATATCCACAGTTTTCAACACAATTGCATTTCCGGATTATTGTAAGTTGTGGTCGCCTTATTCATCTATATTTTCATGTATATTTTCACAGTTATCCTAATTCGGTCAGCAAATCGGATATTGGAATTAGGCGAGTAGTGTTCCAGTTGTCTTTTCTTCTCTCTCTCACGTGCCTGTCAAGCAATCAGGTGACAGAATAGAACAGAAAACTGAGGAACCCTGCTAAATTTGGAAAATGTAGTTGGACAGTTTCGGCATAGCGCGTTCGTCGACTGACGAGATTGTGCAACATGAACAAAATCCTATCAGGAGATCATTCATGAAACGCGAGCGATCAGATTTCCTGCAAGTGAACTGGAAGAGAAGGTCATCTGCTTCTCATAGTAGATATGACTGATGACGTTTCACCTATCACTTTTAAATATTGCCTCATCAATTATCGTATTTGTTCTATTTATTGCAGTTAACGAAATTGGTCACGTTTCACAACGATCACATTGACATCGATTTTCCTCATTTACGCACCCTGTTCAATGTATAACATATTTTGTCAAGGGTGAAGATGAGCAGATGAGCAGAGAAACACGAAGCGTTGACAAACTACGGAAGCCTAATTTGTGGACGTCATTTCATGACTTTCAGTACATCGATTACCAAGTTCATGACAATACATTGTCATCTTGAAAATTGTGAGATTCGATCGGGTCGCTCGTCTATGTATTCACGTATGTTTTCACACTAATGTGAATTGGAGTAGCAGATCGGATTTCGGATAGGTGAAGTAAGCTACTTCTCTATACGTTGTTTCATTCAATTCAGAGCTTGTATATCAGTAAGATTTATTCTTGCCTCTGGTTCATTTTCCAGATCATGAGGTTCCGTTTGATGTATGATGCACTGTCACAGCATTTTCAGTTTAATGACAGTTGAATTAAGCACGAAGCATTTCGTAATCTATACATTTCATTGTAATTAACAAGTTCATGACAAATTTTCGTCATCATAAAAATTGTGAGATTTGATCATGTCGGTCGTCTATGTATTCGTGTATGTTTTCACACTAATGTGAATTGGAGTAGTTGAAAGTATTTCGGAATGAAGCGAGTAGTGTTCCAGTTGTCTTGTTTTATCTCCCTGACGTGCCTGTCATATAATCAGGCGATAGAATAGAAGAGAATAACGACGAACTATTCTCAATGTGCAAAATGTTCTTGCACACACTCGACATGGCAATTGATTGACTGACAAGACTGTGCAACTCTAACAAAATCGTATGAGCAGATCATAATTGAAACTCACAGGAACAGACATACTGAAAATGAACGCAAAGTAAAGAGGATGTGCATAAGAGGGGAGATATCAATGACGCTGTCTTATCTGTCACATGTAAATTTTGACTTATCATTTTCCTTGTTTTCCCTTTCCATTCCAATTAACTGAATTAGTCTCATTTTACAACGATCACAATCCCATCCAATTTCCCTTACATACGCATTCAGATCAACGGCTGTTATATTATTATTCGTTGATGGGGAAGATCATGTGAACTGACAAACAAGCAGCTTTGATAGGTGAAGGAATCTATTTTTCTATACGTTGTTTCATTCAATTCAGAGCTTGTATATCAGTATGATTTATTCTTGACAACACATCCACCGGATTGGTTGCGGTACGCTTGGAATTTGCGTTACGCTGACACGGTATTTATTATAAAGTGCTTATATATCCTTAAACCCTTGTTCATAATTCGATAATACCACTCAATTAACCTTTGAAAATAATATCGTTCGAGTGACACGAAAACGTGCTCGAAATTTTCCTGTTACTTCAGGTATTGATAACTCTGGTCTTACCTACACCCCGTGCTCTGCTACTCCTGTTGCACCAGATAACAGTGGGAGTGTGCTTATTAAACACATGTTGCTGGATGACTCTATGTCTAACTTAATAATGAGTTCTATCTCACGAAGAGATGGTTTCGATCTTATTAAGAGCGAATTAGCCGCTGTCTTTAAGCAATTAAGTGATATAGGTTAAAATGTGGAGTCACTTGCGGGCTCTTTATTAAAGCATGATGATCTTAAACTAGAACTAAAGACACTGTCACCCCTTCGACTGCTGTTGTCAAAAGACATAGTTCCTTCTGAACTCGAAGACAGGTTCAAAGTAGAATTCGTTATTGACTCGATAGCTAGCGAAGTCACCAAGCGAATAATCTCACGAAATAACGTGATTTTATATAATATACCTGACAAGGTTGCCATCAAAACTGTAAGAAACTCGATACTAAAGGCAGCTAACCTCCAGGACAGTCCATGCTAATGTATCCGACTTAACAAAAAGCATCAAAAATACTCGTGCCTTATCCTGTTTAGATTCGATTCCCATTTATTAGCGGAACGTTTGAAAGAATCTGAACAGCTAGTCTGTGCGCATACGAAGTTTGAAAACGCTCGTATAGTCTCAGACAAAACCACCAATCAAAGATTAACAGAAAAGCGTACCATGAACGAAAATAACATTGTTGAGGTCACAACAAATGTGATCGTGCCAGCAGCTGAACTTACAGGTGCTGCTAATTTATCTCATGTTAGTCAGTATACTGATATACCAATACAGTGTGTTAGTTTGCCTCTCATACCCCTAGTGGCCCTAGATAACCAGGACATGTCTGATGAATACTCTAATGTCATTCTTTCCAGTGTAATATCGGAAGCCAAGGATCGTTCACCTGATTCTATAGTGAAGGCTCATAAAAACACTGCTTAACCTAAAAAGGATATACCAATAAAGAAGAAAGTAAATAAAGAACCTTCTAGTTCTAAACCGATTACCAAAAATATTTCATCGGCCTTACCAAACAAAAGTATAATTTCTGAAACTTTGCTTAACCCTACTCATCGTGAGGGAGGTTATTAGGACACATTTCGTTCAAACGTTACACGAGACGGCCACTACAACCATCAGTTAAGCAGGCCTACTATTAGACGGGCAGCAATAAACCAACGTGCCCCATGGTTTCCCCTATATGTAATAAATAATAAACCTGCAAGATGTAACTCTTGTCATCACTCTCGCAGTGGAGAAGATGGTATACTAGGTTATGCACCATCAACGCAACCCCAACATGCAAGCACCTGTCTTAATTGTCCACCAAAACAAGTACAACAAATTATTCAACCTTACCAAAATAAGGATTTTTTCTTCGGCCTCCAGAGATCTTTTGTTCCACTAGCACTACAGTTCGCTCATGCTATAGCCCATGCGATACGGCAAACACATTGAACCATAGTCCAGGCATAGCTAGAACTCATACCATCGATAAGGATGCTCTCGGTTTTTTTACACTACACACTTCCTTTTTAAACTTATTACTCATTAACGCACGTTCACTTCTGAACAAAATCTCAGACTTGAGAACCTTAGCCTTTCTAGCCAAGCCTTCTTTTATACTTATCACTGAAACGTGGTGTTATCCAGCAGTGGCCGATTCCGAATTCATTATCCAAAACTGTCGACTCTATCGTTGTGACTGAGAAACTGAGCGAGGAGGCGGTTGTCTTATATTTGCTTTGGATACCTTAACAACTAATAAAGTTGCAGATAGTATCTTGAATAGTTTATCAGAATTGATCTGGATATCAATCAATACCTCAAACCATAGTCTACTCCTAGGTTGTATATATAGAGCTCCTGATAGTACTGATAATTTGAATGATCGTATTATCAATGCATTTATACACGCATCTACTCTAAACTTCAGTGCTAAGATTATCACTGGTGATTTCAATTATCCTGGGATTAACTGGAGTACCGGTAGTTGTCAGTCCAGCAATGATGAATTTTTATCAATCCTTAATTTGTACTGCTGGTCACAGTAGGTTCGTACCCCAACAAGGGGTGATAATACACTTGATCTAATATTTAGTAGAGATATCATTCCTCTATCTGTACAAGTATACATCGAGTTTGAAAGCAGTGATCATAAGATAGTAGCTTGTGCTCTCCCCATCTATCCCTCCTACAACCGACCAATTCAAAGAACCTGCAATTAAAGAGACTATAAGCATGCAGACTGGAACCTCTTGCGCTCACTGATCGAACTCTCAGACTGGGATGAATTCTGACAGATGCCATCAACATGTTCTATTTGATTGTTAACTCTTGTCTAGACTCCTGTGCACCAATTAAGACAATTAAGACTTATAGTAACATCACGAATTATATGTACCAGCTAAATATCGTAATAAACTAAGACGCCTAAAGAAACGTTATTTTAAACCTAACGACTTCACGGCAGTCACACAAATAACAATAATTTTTAACCAAATTAAAAGAAACATATTTTAAAAGCCAATAATGAAGAGCTATTAGACTACGTACTAGCTCAAAAGTGCAAAACCTAATCCACCTTTACAATAAACGTGCTGAATCAACTCAAATTGTTGATATACTATGCATCCTGCATAATAATAGTTTTACATATGACCCAAAAACTATAGCAGACCTTTTCAGTGGTAATTTTGCAAATGGCAAAGAATCCATAAATGGCTCTGTTTCTAGAGTTATATGCTTGACTGGTAACTCAATTAAATCTATCTCCTTCACATGTCTGAAAATTAGTAAGGTTATAAATAACCTCAAGGTTTCGAAAGGTCACGATGCAGACGGGATTCATCATTTCTCTACAAATATGGTGGTCCAGATATCCAACTTCTTCTCCTCAAACTGTTTACCCTCTCTATGGAATCAGGCTCTTATCCTGACCGTTGGAAAACATCATACCACGTTACAAATCCGGAGATAAAACTGACATGAACAACTATCGGCCAATAAATATTACTCCAGTTATCTCTAGGATTATGGAAAAAATTTTTATTGACAAACTATCCAACTATTTATTGACTGAACAATTTATTGATGATTCGCAACATGGATTTCTTAAAAATCGATCCTGTATGACATGTCATTTTGACTTCTTTAATTAAGTCTATTCTCTTCGTAGCCAAGGATATTTAGTATTAGTGCTATACGTGGACATTTATAAGGCCTTCGACATGGTCAACCACCAACTTCTCATAGGTAAACTCGCATCTTATGGGGTCGAAAACCCGTTACTAGGCTGGTTGTATTCCTTCCTCAGCAATCGGCATCAAATAGTTAAAATGAACTCTTCATTGTCGAACGCAGTTCCTGTTAGAAGTGGGGTAATTCATGGTAATGTCTTAGGTCCTTTGCTCTTTTTAGTTTTCATCAATGATATTTGTGAGTGTTTTAGTGTGGGTAAGTCCTTTCTGTTTGCAGACGATCTTAAGGTGGTGTACTCATTTTCCCCACATGAGCTGAAGAATATTCAAAATTGTATCTGCACGGAGCTTAACAAGGTAGCACAGTGGTGCTTGAAATGGCAACTGGAGCTCAATACAGCTAAATGTGGCTGGCTATGCTTCGGTGATACATCCCTCAACCTTAATCTTACCATAAATGGGGAAATGTTATCTAGGTTACACACAGTAGTAGATCTAGGACTTAGGTACTCCGATGACTTGTCGTTTACTGAACACATAATGAAACAAACGTCCAAGTCTCAACGCCTTATAGGTTTCATAACTCGAAACCTTCATAACAGCGAATCCCGTATTCTAATGTACAAAGTCTGTGTTCGATCACTCCTCGAATACTGCGCGTTTCTCCATAGTAGCACGCGCATAAATGATAAATTAAGACTGGAATCAGTACAGAGACGATTCACATTTCGTACTCTTGGACCTGATAGTGTCTTGACATATAATTCGAGGTGTATTAAACTAGGACGTGATCCTTTATGGAAGAGGAGACTCAAACTTAACCTTATCTTCTTTTTCAAAATACTTAACAAACTCTCCTTCACATCCAGCCAGGCGATTCAATATGCTAAGACTTCACATTACGACATTCGTAACTCCTTGTCTTTAGCGAAACAAACATATTCTAGGTCTTCTCTCTATATGAATTGCTTTACCTGTAAGTTGTCTAGACTCTGGAATAAATTACCCCAAACTATCCGTATGTTAGACTCACTCCCATTGTCTGTTCGCTCAATTAATGCTTTTTGCTCCTCTGAAAATGCATTAAATGCTCTAGCGCCTGCAAGTGTATCTTACACCACAAGTGAGATTATAGGAACTTTAAATGTTTAACCTCTTACTAGCTATCATTGTTTTAGAGTTCCGTGCTCTTTGCTTTAATCTTACTTTCTCTAGTTGTAGATAATTAATAATAACTCGCTCTGGCACTGGTAATAACCTTACAGAACAATGTTGATCATTCATCAGGCTATCCACTTAATAAAATATTGACAACTTCCCTGGTGTTGCATTGGCCGTGACATATGCCATATTTAAACTATATATCAATTATTAAACCAGCAAATATAAAACTTTCTTATATTTCATGTTTCTTCCCTACATTAAATGTTGATTATTATAACAATCTGTACATGCGTTTAAAATGCTGTAAATACTGTAAATAATATTTATATATTATCATTACTATTAATATTATTTTCCAGATCATGAGGTTCCGTTTGATGTATGATGCACTTTCACAGCATTTTCACTTTAATGACAGTTGAATTTAAGACGTAACATTTCATACTCTATACATTTCATTGTAATCACCAAGTTCATGACAAAACTTCGTCATCTTAAATATTGTGAGATTTGATGGGGTTGGTCGTCTATGTATTCATGTATGTTTTCACACTAATGTGAATTGGAGTAGCAGATGGGATTTCGGAATGAAGCGAGTAGTGTTCCAGTTGTCTTGTTTCATCTCTCTGAAGTGCCTGTCATATAATCAGGCGATAGAATAGAAGAGAATAACGAGGAACTATTCTCAATGTGCAAAATGTTCTTGCACACACTCGACATGGCAATTGATTGACTGACAAGACTGTGCAACTCTAACAACATCGTATGAGCCGATCATTATTGAAACTCACAGGACCAGACATACTGAAAATGAACGCAAAGTAAAGAGGATGTGCTTAAGAGGGGAGATATCGATGACGATGTCTTATCTGTTACATGTAAATTTTGACTAATCATTTTCCTTGTTTTCCCTCTCCATTCCAATTAGCTGAATGAGTCTCGTTTTACAACGATCATAATCCCATCCAATTTCCCTTACTTACGCATTCAGATCAACGGCAGTTATATTATTATTTGTTGATGGGGAAGATCATGTGAACTGACAAACAAGCAGCTTTGATAGGTGAAGGAAGCTACTTTTCTATACGTTGTTTCATTCAATTCAGAGCTTGTATATCAGTAAGATTTATTCTTGCCTCTGGTTCATTTTCCGGATCATGAGGTTCCGTTTGATGTATGATGCACTGTCACAGCATTTTCAGTTTAATGACAGTTGAATTTAAGACGTAGCACTTCGTACTCTATATATTTCATTGTAATCAGCAAGTTACTGACAAAACTTCGTCATCATGAATATTGTGAGAATTGATCGGGTCGGTCGTCTATGTATTCATGTATGTTTTCACACTAATGTGAATTGGAGTAGCAGATGGGATTTCGGAATGAAGCGAGTAGTGTTCCAGTTGTCTTGTTTCATCTCTCTGACGTGCCTGTCATATAATCAGGCGATAGAATAGAAGAGAATAACGAGGAACTATTCTCAATGTGCAAAATGTTCTTGCACACATTCGACATGGCAATTGATTGACTGACAAGACTGTGCAACTCTAACAAAATCGTATGAGCAGATCATAATTGAAACTCACAGGACCAGACATACTGAAAATGAACGCAAAGTAAAGAGGATGTGCTTAAGAGGGGAGATATCAATGACGATGTCTTATCTGTTACATGTAAATTATGACGAATCATTTTCCTTGATTTCCTTTTAAATTCCAATTAGCTGAATGAGTCTCGTTTTACAACGATCACAATCCCATCCAATTTCCCTTACTTACGCATTCAGATCAACGGCAGTTATATTATTATTTGTTGATGGGGAAGATCATGTGAACTGACAAACAAGCAGCTTTGATAGGTGAAGGAAGCTACTTTTCTATACGTTGTTTCATTCAATTCAGAGCTTGTATATCAGTAAGATTTATTCTTGCCTCTGGTTCATCTTCCGGATCATGAAATTTCCGTTTGATGTATGATGCACTGACACAGCATTTTCAGTTTAATGACAGTTGAATTGAAGACGTAGCACTTCGTACTCTATATATTTCATGGTAATCATCAATTTCATTACAAAGTTTTGTCATGCCAATTATTGAAAGATCTGAACGAGTTGGTCGTTTATGTATTCGTGTATGTTTTCACACTAATGTGAATTGGATTAGCAGATGTGTTTTTCGAATGAAGCGAGTGGTGATCCAATTGTCTGGTTTGATTTCGCTGACGTGCCTGTCAAAAAATCAGGCGACAGAATAGATGAGAATAACGAGGAACTATTCTCAATGTGCAAAATGTTCTTGCACACACTTGACATGGCAATTGATTGACTGACAAGTCTGTGCAACTCTAACAAAATCGTATGAGCAGAACATAATTGAAACTCACAGGACCAGACATCCTGAAAACGAACGCAAATTAAAGAAGATATGCTTAAGAGGGGAGATATCAATGACGATGTCTTATCTGTTACATGTGAATTATGACGAATCATTTTCCTTGTTTTCCCTCTCCATTCCAATTAGCTGAATGAGTCACATTTTACAACGATCACAATCCCATCCAATTTCCCTTACTTACGCATTCAGATCAACGGCAGTTATATTATTATTTGTTGATGGGGAAGATCATGTGAACTGACAAACAAGCAGCTTTGATAGGTGAAGGAAGCTACTTTTCTATACGTTGTTTCATTCAATTCAGAGCTTGTATATCAGTAAGATTTATTCTTGCCTCTGGTTCATTTTCCAGATCATGAGGTTCCGTTTGATGTATGATCCACTGTCACAGCATTTTCAGTTTAATGACAGTTGAATTTAACACGAAGCATTTCGTACTCTATACATTTCATTGTAATTAACAAGTTCATGACAAAACTTCGTCATCATAAATATTGTGAGATTTGATCATGTCGGTCGTCTATGTATTCATGTATGTTTTCACACTAATGTGAATTGGAGTAGCAGATGGGATTTCGGAATGAAGCGAGTAGTGTTCCAGTTGTCTTGTTTCATCTCTCTGACGTGCCTGTCATATAATCAGGCGATAGAATAGAAGAGAATAACGAGGAACTATTCTCAATGTGCAAAATGTTCTTGCACACATTCGACATGGCAATTGATTGACTGACAAGACTGTGCAA